GGTTTCTCTTTCAGTATTCGGCACGTATTGAGGAAAATACTTTAAATTCTGAGTTACTCCGGTTTCAAGTGACAGACTGGGATGAAGAATACACGGATAACTGGCTGGCTGTGTACTTCTTTACCTCTGGAAATGAGGGGAATTGGTTTGAAATTGAAACAGATCCCAGAACCAATGAAGGCATCCTGAAGGTGGTTAAGGTAAGGTGTGAGTTTCCTTAATGGGTAAAAACACTCTATAGTAACTCAAACTACTAATTATACAAATGAATTACATCAATAATGTGACCACTCTATTATTTTTAAAAAATAAAAATAAAAACATAACAAAGTAGATAGCATTTATTTTACTATCATCATAGTTATATTGCCTAAAGACAGCATCCCTTCCAAGTTATCGTACTTTCCGTAACACACACCCACATAGAGAGAGGGATGGGGTCAGGGGGTGGGGGGCTGCATGCTTTCTGGACAGGGAAGCAAAGACGTTTCATATATTAATCAAAATCAGTCTGCAGTTGGATTGGAGTTTGGAAGAGATGAGAATGCATGGGATTGTGGCGCTGGAATTTGTCAACATGTTTAAATGCATTAGCTGATGTCAGCACAGAATTCCTCCAGGAAGTGGGAACTGTTAACAAATTCTGCTAGGTAAAAAGCAAAAAGCTGAGTAAAGCTTGGGTTCAGCATGACAGACTCCCCATCTGGAATTATGTCAGGACAGCTGTGCCTGGAAATAGCATATACCCGAACAAATAGCCACTCTGCTGACATTCTTTGGCATCAGGTTTGGGAACATTCTGGAGCTTCTTTAACACCTAGGTCTGACATAGTGATGGAGTGATAGTATTTCCTTAATTAAGAGACTGCTGGATGAATTGCAAGCATTCCCTTATTCCACATTTCACAGAGAGTGTTACAGCTTCTGAACCTGCAAGGACTTTGTTATAAATCTCAACATCATCATGACTCCTTATCTAATGTACTAGGGTCACTCAGTTTCCCAAACTCAACACCTGGCTGTCATCCTTGAACCCTGGCATTTCCTCACAGCAACCGGCCAGCCATCAGGTTCTGCCTAGAAACTATCCTTAAAGGATGGCTTTCCTCTGTCTTCTGCCACTTCTCCTCTGCCTGGCCTCGGTCCGCTGAGGATTCTGTGGGGAAACCCTCATACTGTTGAGTCTTGGACTAATCAACGTGATTCCAACATGCCATCCAGGTGGATAGCCACCTACTCCAAAATGGGGTAGTAAACCTTCCTCACAACGGTGCCCAAGGCCCTACCAGCCAGCTCAGATCACCTTCGGCAGCAGAGTATTTGAAAGTGTCTCCGCCTTTCTCTGAATAACTTTACTGCATCCTTCAATGCTCAGCTCAGATCCAAAACCTCTTGGACACCTTTCCTAACTCTCAGTAGAAGCAATTCCCTGCTTCCACGCAGCTCTGTAATCTCTTTGTCTCTACCTACACTTCCCCTTCCACTGGGAAACTCTGAGCCCTCAGAAGCAATCATTGTAGCTGACGGACACTCAAATCCAGATCTTTTTCCTTAAAAATATTCTACTGGTAAATAGATAAAACAAAAATTGGCATTTCCTAATCTATCCTCCTGAAAAAAGAAGAAAAATGTTAACCTTGAATTCCTTGGTACTTGATTTAATTAGAAAATCAAGCAGTTTTAAGTAAAAACACTTAAAACCGGCTCCATGAAGAGTGGGTCAAATGCTCACTGCTATAAAAAGAATGGGTTGGTCTTTTTGCCAATGAATATGTGATAGTTGGCCTTTAGACCAGGGAAATTTTATTTATGTCAGAAAAGAATATACATGAATCTAATGAGTATTTTATTAATAGCCAAGTTGCTGTTTATAAAAAACGTATCACCAGGCAGTGGTGGGGCATGCCCTTAATCTCAGCACTCAGGAGGCAGAGGCAAGCAGATCTCTGAGTTGGGGGCCAGCCTGGTCTATAAAGTGACAGCCAGAACTACACAGGGAAACCCTGTCTCAAAAACAAAGAAATAAAAAAGAATGTCTCATAGGACTTCATTCATTCAGTCTTATAATAACCTGGTGAGGTACGGTTTGTTTTGAGATGTGAAAAAGTTAAGGTCTGGGATGTAGCATAGTGGTAGAATACTTGCCTACCATATGTAACATCCTGGGTTCCACTTCCAGTACTGAAAAGAATATATTTTTTAAACAAGTTAAAATGTACATAACATTTAGAAGTGAAAAGCTGAGGATCAGAGAAGTCAAACCCCATGCTTTATAACATCCAGATTCTGTTACAAACAGAATCAAGACTTGAGCCATGTTACCACCACAAATTAGGGATTCTTTAAGTTCTACCTCACAGCCTAAAGGGAGTTAATGATGTTTTGTTTATCTAAAAAGGGGACACTTTATAAACAGGCTACCAAAACAAGGTCCCATAAAAATAAGGCAGTCTCTAGTTGACATTAATGTTGACTTCTGAAACCATTTTTGCTCTTTAGAAATAGAAGGTCCTGTCCATGTCATGGTCTTCCAGATTGTGTTTGCTTTGTTTTGTCTTTTGTGACGCTTCCTCCTGTCTGATTTGGTTTCACTCCAGGCTCTGGATTATGAGCAAATGCAAAGCATGCAATTTAGTATTGCTGTCAGAAACAAAGCTGAGTTCCACCAGTCAGTGATCTCCCAGTACCAAGTTCGGCCAACTCCAGTCATAATCCAAGTCACCAATGTCCGAGAAGGAATCTCATTCCGTCCTCCTTCCAAGACATTTACTGTGCCAAGGGGAGTAAGCACTAACAAATTGGCTGGTTATATCCTTGGAACATATCAAGCTACTGATGAGGACACTGGTAAAGCTGCCTCCTCTGTCAGGTAAGACGGGCTTTATATCCTCTGGGTCCTTAGTGTGATTTTTGTCTATATACGATTACATCACATTGCTCCATCAACTGGTTGCCAAAAACAGAGCTACAAAAGGGGTGAAGTTGAGGAACAGATAACTCAAGAAGAGATACACAGATAAATTATTAGAATATGTTGTGCCATGAGCAAAAATAGCTTGTCTGTAAACTAGTAGGAACTAAAAGATGGATACCCCTTAGCTCATATGGAAATCAGGAGAGAGCGTCATAGCTGAGTCTTGCAAAAGGTTAGAAGTTCACCAAAGGAGTGAGTTCTAGTGAGATAAGACACTGTGGCTCCATTCAAGGCAAAGTCGGTAGCGGCTGAAGCATTAAGCACCATACAGAGTAGCAGCCACAGTCTGAAGACCAAAGGCACATGGTTGGTTTTACTTTGTTCTATTTTATTTTTCACAGCCAAAAATTGAGTAACCAGACTAATGCATGCAAAAGGATTATGAAGGGTGATCCACCTACGTCATGTTAATTTTCTGGGTTTTTTTTTTTTACTTCTTTATTAGATTTATTTGTTTGTTTTATGTATATGGGTGTTTTACCTGCATGTGTGTCTGTGTACTTTGTGTTTGTAGTTCCTCAAGGAGTCAGAAGAGGGCATCAGATTCCCTGGAGTTACAGGTGGTTGTGAGCTGCCATGTGGGTGCTGGGAACCAAACCTGGAACCCATATGAGAGCAACAATACTTGAGTACTGAGCCTTCTCTCCAGAACTCTGATATTGTTTATAAGTACACACACAGCGTTTTAGATCATGCATAAATATGTTGGCTAAATAATATTCATTAAATAAATAATATTTTATATTTTTCTATTATAAAACAGATATGTCCTGGGTCGTAATGATGGTGGTCTGCTTGTGATTGATTCAAAAACTGCTGAGATCAAATTTGTCAAAAACATCGACCGAGATTCTACTTTCATAGTTAACAAGACAATCTCAGCTGAGGTTCTGGCCATAGATGGTAAGAAAGATATTTCCATGGTTTTGAATGATATATTTAAATTAGCATTTCCTTCAGAGTAGGTGGTCATGACTGCTTTACCTATTTCCTTTATCATTAAAGATCATTATCTTAGGAGCTTTGGGCCTTGGGTCTGATACACCACACCTGAACCTAAGAGAGACGAAGAATTTCCACTTACTAGTTTAGTTAATAACACCCATAACCCTGGTCCCTTTGGTTTACTATGGGTGAGGGAGAAAGCGTGTGTATGTATGTGTGTGGGGGGGGTGTATGATGCATATTCATCCATATGTGTGTGCAAGTGCATGTACCCATGCATTTGTGGAGGCCAGAGGAAGATGCTGAGTGTCCTACTCCATATGGTGTGCCTTAGGCACTTGAGACAGGGTATCTTACTTAACCTGGAGCAATGCTGGCAGTCAGCAGGTCCACGAGACTGAGTTGCAGATCCATACACAGCAGCCCCGGCTTTTTGCATAGTGCTAAGGGCCCAAACTTGGGACCTCATGCTTGCACATCAAGTGTTCTCACCCTCTGAGCCATTTCCCTAGCCCCGGGAGGAATTTTTTTGAATTTTAATAACTGAGTTTTAGAGGACCAGTAAAAAAATTCCTACAATCAATAACAAATCCACTCCAAATGTAAGCTCACGTTGTGAGTTCCCTACAGAAAGCCTGTAAACTCTCATCATTAAACAACAAAATTTCCTCTCCTGAGATGTTTTAAATAATATTCATAGAATGTGTGTATTTACCGATCTATAAAATTAATTTAGACTCAGTGTAATAAGCACCAGAAAATAAACATCAAAAATGTTAACATTTGGAAAAACCACCCCTAACACTAAAAATGACAGAACTCATTCATCATCTCACCACCGAAGAGTTTTATTTTGCTGCTTGATTGTCAACATTGTTTGTTTGTTTGTTTGTTTGTTTGTTTGTTTGTTTGTTTGTTTACAATAGGGCCTGACTATATGGGCCTGGCCCTGTGGCTCACTATGTAGAGCAGGCTAGACTCAAACTCACAGAGATCCACATGCCTCTGCTCCTAAGTGCTTGGGATTAAAAAGCCACATGCCACCACCCACACTGACTTCAGTAAACTTTTAAGTCTTAAGTAAAAAATATAATTATTTATTCCAAATACTAAGGCTCAAATTGCAGAAGCAATTTCGTCTCCTGGTTACAAATGTAACCACAGCTTTTCCAGCTTTTTTTTTTATTATTGATTTCATTTGTAATTAATGAATTACTTTGATTTCAAGAATATTTGACTAATACTAATGCTGCTTACTAGATACACCAGGCAACTCAGCCAGTTTAAATTGGTCTTATAAGTTGCAGAAATAGGATGTTGTCTTTTTACTCCTGATAATAACAAATATACCTTTTCATGAGAAGTTATCCTAACTTGGCAATAAGAAAGAAATAGAAAAGTTGCTTTTGTAAGTTGGGTGCAGTGGGTTACCTATAATCCCAGCTACTCAGGAGGCTGAGGAGGGAGTTCGCAGTCAACCTGAGCAA